TGGGGAGGGAGGGGATGCTCGGGGCGAGGCCCTGGCTCTGCTGCCAGCGGGGTCTGCGCAGCACGGGCCAGCCCACATGCTGGGGCACGGGCTGAGAGCAGGGACCAGCAGCGGATGCCAGCACGGGGAGAGCTCCTTCCTCCTGTCCTTCCTCTTCGCCATGGCTGTCCCAGCCTTGGGTCCAAGCACAGCCTGTGGCAGGGGATTCAAGGAAACCTCTGCAGGAACACCATTTCCTTCCTGGTGAGCCTCCAAGTCCAGGTGTGGTCTGGTGCCCACTCCCTACCCAAATTCTGCCAAACTATTTGTGCTGGGTAAGTCGACATTAATGACTTGCCTTAAGTTACCTTAGACTGGCACAAAAATTTGGTCGGACAGCTTTCCACCCACCTGAAATGTGCTCTGAACCTTTGTGAAAGCTTCTTCTCTCTGTCACATCATTAAATACCATCAGGCATCTCGTGTGCTAGCGAAGCAGCCATGCCCGGTTAAACCTCTGCCGACACGAGCTGCGCAGGGCTCGCCTCTGCTTGCAACCAGCGGGGCTTCTGCCTCTCTTACCCGTGGTGGCTCACTTTTCTTCAGACCCTGTTGGTCTGGTTAAAACATCACAGCTTTCTAGAGGGTAGGGAAGAAAATGAAGTGCAAACACAGGAACGCTGCATTTGCCAAAGTGTTACTGAGCTCTTTCCATCACTTCTGCCACTTGCTCCCTCCACCCCAGCTGTGCAGTTTAGTCAAACCCCCCTGAGGGGCACAGGCTTCCCTCTTCTGCTGCTTTCCTACGGAGAAAAGAGCAGCCTTCCTCTGCTCTAACAGTCCCTTGTCTCGCCATCTCCTCCCTGTACGTACAGTTCTTCGGTCTGTATTTTCAAGCAAGTTTGTTTTCAGTTCAGATCATCTCAGACCCAAGACGGACAAGCAAACACGGGGTTTCAGGAAAAGGGCCTTACTGTAAAGGCACTTGGTCTGTGCTTCCAGAATCTGCATGAAGGAAACCTTAGAAAGCTCAGTGGACTTCACTGCTCGCAGATCATGCGGCCGCTGTTAATACGGGGCTTGTTAATCAGCCTGGCTCTTGCTGTAAGCTGCCAAGCAGGATCCCACCTGGAGCACTTCATTAGTGGGGACATCTTCAGCCTGGCCAGACCTCTCCATCAGCTCCCCTTTGCGACTCGGTGCTCGCTGGGCAGAGGATGTGCCCTCAGACGGGAGGCCCCCAGGAGAAGGATGCAAAGACCTCCCTTGACTTGCAGTAGCACCTCAGTCAACCTCAGATCAAGCCTGCTCAGCGTTTACCAGTCTACACAGACATAGAGTCGCTGGTCTCCACCTCTGCACTTACTTCATCCAGGGATGCAAGTGACGTACCTCAACATCCCACAGGCTTCAGCCAAGTTCTTTGAAGCAAAACGCCATCGGTCGGGAGTATTTGGCTTGGCAGATCACTGGCTGGGGGCTGCGGGGGGGTGGCGAGTCTGCATTCCTGCTCCAGAGACCAGCTCCGGAGAGCGCCCAGTGCATGTGCCTCGTGTGAGCCAAGCGGCATTTACTGGCATCCTCCGCTGGGTCGGGGGGCTTGTCCAGCAGTCGGCCCGTGTGCTTTGGCTGCCTTCGTGCAGCTCTGCACCCCAGCTGGAGATGCTCCTCCCGGAGGCAGCTGAGGTGAGGACCCTGTGTACCTCAGCACCTCCACGTGCTGCCAGCCTCTCTGCAAGCTGTGGCTGACCAGGCACCGGGAGCAGGGGAGGCTGGGGTCAGCCTTCTTCTAACCACCTAGGAGCTGGTTTTCAGCCCCACGCTTCTCTGCTTGCATGGAGTACATATACTCCTTCTGCCAGCTCTGGTCCACAGACGCCTACCTCTTGTCACAGTGCTGAGAACAAGAATCTCAAGTGCTTCGAGGGGAACGTGGTTTATCGCCACTACTTGTGCATCAGCCAAACATGAGGCAAGACCAGACAACACAAGCGCTCCGAGGCGAGGAGCAGAGCGGGGTGTAAACCTCTCGTTCAGAGGGAGCTCCCGGTTCGGGTGTCAGCGTCTGCTTTGCATGGGAGTGGTCACCCCAGGGACTTCTCCAGAAAAGCAGGCCCTTGAGCTAGGGCCAAACCCACCCACACCTTGTCTACCGCAGCATGTCGAGTCCGCAGGCACCTGAGAGCGCGAAGTCCTGGAGGGATACAGCCCCCAGACCTGGAGTCGCTCGCAGGCAAGGCGAGGCACGCTCCGAATCCCCGTCCCACGAGCAGGCGAGAGGCTGCTCTCCCAGCACCCCTCCGGCGCTCTGCTCCAAGCGCAGCCCTCCCTTTTTTTTACCGGGCTCACCCACGCCTGCAGACTGCTCTCGGCGCAAGTTCATCCCGCTGTTAACTTCAGGGGTATTACCTTGAGCATCTCTGAAAATCAAGGCTCCACGCACCCAAGGAGCTCCACGGAAAAGGCTTCCTTGGACACTACGCACGCCGAACACTTCTACCAATACCATGGTTTTGTATCCAGTGACGAACGACCGGCTCTCCTGAGCCTTGGCATCGGAGGCTTCCCCATCCGTAGCCCTCGAGAGGGGCAGCCAGAGACGCAGGGCTGCACGCACCAGCGTCGCGCGTGGGCATCCGTCACGCTAGGGATGAGCTGTACCAGTACACACACCTATAATGCCTGTGAGAGTCTGGACAAGTACAACAGCTTTAATTAGAAAAGAAAGTCATCATATCCTTCATTCTAATAATTATTTTGAAGAACAGACCAAGCGTAAGGGCATGAACAGACTTAATGAGGACTGTAATTAGCGTGCTTAAGGAACAACTGCTCCCCAGCGAAGCTGCCGAAACAGGAGCTCTTCGGGCATCACTTACTGGGTCTCTCCCTCCTCCCCGTCCCACGCAACGAACCCCACCTGGGATTTGACCCTTCTGAGGACGGCCATGCCTGCAAACAAACAGCGGCGGCACGCGCACGGGACCGGGTGCACCCAGGCAGGGTGGGCACCGTGCAGGCACCGGGCTCGGGGACACGGCCAGGGACCGCTCCCCTCCAGCAGCCGCCGTGGAGCCGTTCCTGCCCATTCCCGCACCCGTGTCATGAGGCCAACGGTCTCAGCTTCTCTTTGAGAAGCGCTGCCCGTCCCTGCCAGACGCACCGGGCTCCTGCCCGACGGACCCGCAGGCGCGAGGGGAGAGGAATCAAAACTCACCGAGCGTCACTGCCTCCGGCTCTGAAGTTTATTGAACTGCGCACACAGCACTCGAGAGCACCAGGTCTGGGAGGGATGCGGGGCACGCGCACACCCCGCGTCCCACAGAAAGGGCAGGCACTTCAGCTACTGCTTTATTTGAATACAGACATCACCCCAAAACACAACAGGAAGAGCTCTGCTTCAGAATTACAATGGTAATGACACAGAATTTACAAAAATATAAATAACCTACTCGTAACCTTAAGGAAAAATAACATCCACCATAAAAAATACCATGTATTCCCCTAGGTAAACCATGACTACAGAAATGTATTATTATTCTTTTAAAAAAGCACCAGAGTCTGCATTATGAAGTAATCCAAAATACATAGGGCATTTCCCCCTAACGCAGACTTTTCTGAGAAGTGTGCCCAGATCATTAAAACTGATTTTTTTTCAGTATTGCCTGCTTCTATAAGAGCATGCTGAAGGTACAATTCTTATAAGCACCCTGTTCAAGAAAAGCACCCAAGGATGTACTAATCGTTCGCTTTAACAAACACTTTAATAGGATTTAAGTATGTGCCTATTTTAAGTCTCTGCTTAAGAGCTTTCCAGAACAGGGCTGGATTTAAACTTATCACACAAATTCCTCTGCAAATCAGACTTCCAGACAAGAGTGGTGTCAAAAACAATCGCTTGTAAAAAAAACCAATCCTGCTGCCCAAGAGTGTTTCCATTGTTCCGCCCCAGCTAAAGTTTGCACAGATCCCAAATTATTTGATTTCTTTCAACTCTTTTTGAGCTGTGCCAGCTTGGCACGAACAGCTTCCTGAGGCCGCAACGCGAGATCCAGCGCTATGGGAATTTCCTTCCCTTACATTCCACGTATTGTGCTGAAAATACTACTAAAAAAAACAAAAGTCAAGTATCAAGTCCATTGGTTCCCAGCTGAAGAAATTCACCGCCCAGGGACTGCTGCCGCTTCCGAAGTCCAAACCGCAGCGCTACGCCCCGTGTTTCAGACTCTCGTGGTTCCCCTCTCCCGAGAGCTTCAGTGGGGCTCGTGGCAACCTGGCCAAAGGGGTCCCCAGGGGCTGAGCTCAAGGCCACCTGCAGAGATCGTGGCCCGTGTAAACACAGCTGATTTTGTCACCACGGCTGGAAGGAGGGTGCCCAGCATGGGCACCGGTGAGAGTGGGGAGCAGCCCGCAGGTGGGAGCTGGGGGGGCTCCATCACTGAACAGACCCCTCCCGCAAAGCTCTCGTGTGGGGTCAGGCCTGCCCAGAGCACCAACCACAGCCGCCCGCACCGCGACCACCACCGAGGCTCCGTACGGCACCGAGAAAGGTCCAGACACA